AAAAAAAGGAGAAATATGTCTTGCTTGTTACGTGTGTGAATTTTTTTTTTTTTTTTAATATTGAACTTATTCCCATCTGGGGCTTTCCAGTGAACAAATTGGGTTGCGAAATTATCAAACATACAATACAATACGAATTATATACCTTTAAAATGAAATATGGTCAGTTTAAAATTAATTCAGAAGCTCTCTTAAAGGACGCGGGACTCGTAGATAATTTAAGGCTTGGATCTAAGTTGTTCCAGGTAAATACACTTTTAAAATAAAACCTTATTGTCGTGACCTTTTTATTATAATTTTCAGTTTTTATTATGTTTGATATTTTTAGTCATGTTTTCCATCTCTTTGAGAATAAAAAAAAGAGTTAACATGAAATAAAAGTCGAACATGGGCAGTAAAGAACACAATTTCCTGACTAGATTTCAGACGTAACTAATTTTAAATAGATAATGCATATTTTAACGACAGTTTTGACGGAATAGGAAGAAACACGGAAGAATCTCGTTCAACTACGATGCAAAGCCGAAGAAAACGAAAATTCATTTTGATAATTATTTCGCGAATTCCCCAGAGCAACTCCTCACTTGACTTGTGTTAAAGACAATAATCATTTTCTTGAAGGACTGATTTTAACATATCGCTGGGTCAGATCTTTGAGCCCTGAAATAATTCTAAACACTATCTATGCAGGTATTATAAACGCGCACAGTCTCTCAAGGAAAACCTCAGTGGTATCTTACAATTAGGACTGTTAATATAAGATAAAAAGTGCGGAAGAAAATTGAAACGGAAATATCGTAGTTTTCAGTTGTTAACGTTACGTATACGTTATAATAACGGACTCACCCAGCTTTAGCAATGGTGTAGAAAGCTCGCAGTTTTCATCTATCTTCTGACGTTATTGTTGTACACTCACATAATTAATATCTGAAAAGTCACAATAAACGGCGCCCGTTTTTTCATTCTCGCTAAGTAATAAGAAACTTGTAAATTAAATTCATGATTATTATAAGAACTTTCTGGGTAAATTGCATTGATAGCAAGTACGTTTTTATTTATCTGTTTATTTAGTTTTTGTCATCGTATTTTCTGCTGTTTTTCAGGTTTCAAGAAAGCATAATATTTCCTTTTTTTCCCAATCTTTTGATCAGCTTGACTCTTCGTGGAAAGCAAAACAACGACTACTTTTAGACGAGAAAGTCTGATAATTGATGGCTGTGGGTTACAGTTATTTTGAAATAGCACATTTTTCACAATAGATGATCTACCCCGCAACGAAATGACGAACAAAGTAAACGGTAAAATAAAAACAGCTATCGCATTTTAAAAATGCATGAACACGTATTGGAAGAATTGCCCTTTCTTGGCTTAAGCTCAGAGATCGTTTCAATCACCAATGTTACAAAGTAAGTCCTAATCGTACCTTCCCTCAGTTCAATATACAACTGGTTCAACAAATTTCCTATTGAACAAGTCTTTAGCGAACTTCCAAGGTGTGCTTTGTTACGGCATATCCTTATCTGTGTTAAGCAACTGATTAGAATAAGCGGAAGAAAACGTAGAGAAAAATTTATATTAGTCGACGTTTGGAAAACATAGCGCACCTTTATGAGCAGAAAACTAGTTGCAATGAATATTGACAAATTATCTTTGAGCTTCTTTACTGCTCTGAGCCCACGCAGCTTTGAGGGAGGTGGCATAATGTTAATTTTGTAGATCAATAAATTAGACTTTTTGGGACAGTCTGAGTAAATACTGTGACAAGTAAAAAGGAAAGCAATTTCCCTTCGCAAGTTGTGAGATGACAGTTTTTTCTTTTCCTCCCAGATTCTAATTTCGAGTAAAGTTCTTTTTGGACTGAAATAGCACCCACCTCTACCCTCTTATGACTTTTTCACAAATTATGTCAAAGAGGAATTAAGAATGACATTGAAAATTGACAGAAAGGTCCGATCCACCTGTCGATCAATTCGGTTAAAAGTCTAATGAAAATTGGGCAATATCTTCTAGAGATATTTATTAAAGGAGAATCTTGCCTATCTGTGCGACAAAAGATGTCATAAATTGCTGAAAATTATTAGATTTCTGGTGAGAAAAAAGGAAAAATATTTAGTTCAACCACATTTTGTGTTTACATTTGTGAGGAATTTCATAGAAATGGGGTTTGTAGAACAGATAGTAAATTTTGAGATAGATGTGATGACTTTCAGTAAGGTCCTCTATCTGATATAGTTTTCGAGCTGAGATGAAATTCACGTTAATAACGCAAGCTTCATTTCATCATGATACTTATCCAGTTTTAGCGTAAAAATGAAGAGGATCAACATGTACAACATGCAACTTACTTGTTCAAGATTTAGGGGTCAGTGAAAAGTAAGGTACCTTAAAGGCGTTCCTTCTTGCAAAAGTGCAAGGTAATATCTCTTGTGAACTTTGTTCAATTTGGAGACCCATAACTTTTATCCTAACAAATATATTACGTAACAGAGTGTTTGATGGCAATGAAATGGTTTGAAACTCTTGAAACACAGCGAAGACGAAGGAACGCATCGACCCCAACCGGTCCTTGTGGTGTTGAAAGCTCTGAGTAAGCTCTCAGATAGGAAGAGAACGAAGAAGTTTCTGAATAACTCATTCTTTACTTTCTTGGCTGAAAGTTTATCCTACTGAATAGATTAAGTTAATGCGAAGATCCAAATAAATCATTTATACAGTTATACAATAATAGTGACATAAACGTATTTGCATACGAAAATGTTTAGAGTGATTTCTCGTGAAATATGAGTCCTAAATAGTTTTCGAGAAAGCACAAAAAATAACGATTTCAGGAAACATTCTTCACTTTGTTTAATTTTTCATGCCGTTAAGCCTCAGCTAACTGCTCTTATCTAATCAACCCACTAAACCAAACAAACAATTTTTGAAGAAAAAAATACAAAATTTGGGTGAAAGAAGAAGGCATACGGATGACAAAGTAATCCATCTTAATCCAGTAAAATTACTGCAAGATCCAGCTCAACTTATTTTACATACAGAATTGAAATGAGACTTCTGCCAATCGGAAAATTCACAATAACCACAACACTGAAAAAAAAAAAAGAAAGGGAAAACACAGTATGACTAATTTCTGTAAATGCATCAGTAATTTAGGACGAATAAAGCGATTGTATAAGGAATTCAGTCCGTATATTCTGTCATTGATGATACTTTTCCAGAACTTGTTTACTTACGTCGCGATCTTCCGTACCTAACTTGCTAGGAAGACGATTGGAAAATTGAAATGTTTACTTACCGCTCTCCCTGTCCGAAACAACTCTTGCAGGAAAAAAATTACTGACCTAATAAAACCGATGTAGTTTTGGCTTAAATTGTTCTTCGATGTGTAGACTAGGTGCCGAACACTTAAAAGAGGAAACATCTTTCGACTTATTGACGCCATAGCAACAGTGGAAATGTACTTAATTCTTAATTGGTTAGAATGTTCCAGAATGTTTTAGAAATCGAATGCTCTAGAATCGTCAGTTGTGAAACAGCTGCGAAGAAGCAATAGGGAAATACACTGCTATGTTTCCTACTGAATGCTCAGAAAGATAAATTATCCTGAAGAGATTTGACTTTAACTTTGGAAATTGATGTAATTGTCCTTCGAATTCCTTTAAGCACTTGAAGCCTTCCTCAGTCTCATTTTTATCAATTTAAGAGCGAGTTTTAATGGCAAATATTAATTGACGTTTCTATAAACTCGCTAAATGACTTTATCATCGTGACCAATCAGAGATCACAGCCTGTAGTGTCTCAGTAGGATTAATCTTGAAAACAGACCAGTCCAGATATAATATATTTTCTTAAACTGACGCAATGGCAAAACTAATAATTATTATAACATAACCAAAGTAAAGCGCGCTCTCTGATTGGTCAATTTAGCGTTCCCCATTTGCCCATGGGTGTACGCTGCTGACGTGAGCAAATGCAAAGACTATTTTTCCGCGCGCGCTTGTTTTTTCTGGTCGCGTAAGATTTGTTAAATAAAAGGGAACTCTTTAGCTACAATGTATCAATGTTATGTTATAAAACAAATGGTAAACACCACAGCGTACACTATTGAGTTATGGATGCACTTGGGAGGTTTGCTAAGCACTCAAGAAGCTAGAGTCGCTCTCGGCTATCGCCTCGAGCGACTCTTACGCTTCTTTCGTGCTTAGCAACCTCCCGCGTGCATCCATAACTCAATAGTGTACGCTGTGTTGTTTACCATTTGTTAAATGATGCATAATCTTTCAACATCGATGAAGCATTTTGGCAGAGTGGAGTTAAGCCGGAGACACTTACAAATATTCTCTTTTCACTCGATTGATGCGTTCCTCTAGTTTCTCTTGGACAAATCCTCAGGCAGCATTTTATTCATAAAAAAAGTAGAAACAGTTTTAAAAGCTTCAACGCAGGCAAAAAGCCCTAAGAGTTTGAGGCTTTAATACGTCAAGTATTTTAAACGGTGATAGTGTGACAGTAAACAATAAAAGCACTCGGTGTGCGGCCTCGTGCTTCCGTCTGTTTTTCGGTGTTTGGAACCCCTGATAAAATACTCGCACTCGTTTTCTATACTACGTCAGATGATCTTTGAAGTAACTTTGTTTTATTTTCTTTTTTCGAGTGATTTTATAGTTTCGGGGATGTGTGAACATGATTTTTTTCTCTCTTCGTCTACGTCCAAGCTTTACGGGAAGCTGCACACAAGGTGTGGTATCACAACAAATATTTGCAATGATGATATATACAATTGTTTTAGTCATTTAATTGAAAAGCAAGCCTGGTTATAACTATAACACAAGGAAAAGAAAAAAATTTCCTTTCGCAAGATTTTAAAATTCACAGCTTTTCTCTTTTACTTCAAATTCAAAAGCGTTGAGTCAGGAATAGTTGTTTTTTGGGTCGCGCTTTAGAAAGGTAAGTAAGGATTAGTTTCTAAGCAACAATGGTTAATAAGATAAAAGAACAAAGTGACCTTTTAAAGCGAAAACTGGCCACATCATAACAAAGATGGACAAGAAACATCTTCGCATAAAATGCTTTATCGAGGAACTTCTTGGAGATAAATCAAAGTTGAGCACGGCCGACATTGTCAAAGGAAAGGAACAATTTTAGTTGAGTTTGCTCTCTTCCAACGGCACCAGACCAATTTGTACAAATTTTGACGAAACTGTTGACTTCGGAGACTGTACACCACAGGGTTAATAGAAGAGTTGATGGTTGCAAGAACTATAGTTGTCTTGTGCGGAACAGAATACATGGACTCAGATGGAATAACATTGGCTAAGAAGTAGATGATTAACGTGGGTACCCAGCAGACGACGTATATGGCACTCACTAGTAACACCATGATAGTTATTCGTTTCCTAGATCGGATGAAAGCCATTTGAGACAGGTTTTTTCCGACAATGCTTGTGAACCAAAGGCGACGTGTTACCTGGAAGAAAGTTAAGTCCCAGTTAAGCAGCCAGTTTTCACGTTGCCCGTCCGTCAGTTAGTCGGGCAGTCAGTCCATCAGCCAATCAGTTGGTTCTTAAGTCAGTCAGTCGGTCTGTCAGCCAGTCAATCAGTCACAGAGTCAGTCATTCAGTCCATCAGCCATCCATTAAGTCCATCAGTCAGTCAGTCTCTCAGTCAGTTAGTGAGTCAATCACTCAAGAGCTCAGGAATTAGTTTAGCTTTCAACAATCAATAGATTTTTAGACCATATACCGATATATATATATATATATATTAACTTGTATCGGAGCATAAATTCATTTGTAATTTTAACACAAAATCTATTGTAACCCAGTCCCTTATTAATTAACTGTATCTATTTTGTAGTTTTAAATTTGTAACCACATTTCAATTTGTAACCATATTGTAATTTTAAATTTGTAACCACATTGTAAAACAATGAAGCCCACAGGCTTCATTGTTTTCTCGAGCTCCTCCGACCACCCCCTAGCACATCGATAACTATGTTGAGCTGCTCCACGAAATATCCAGGATATTGCTTTTTAAGCTCCCATCGCAGTGGTTATTATTATTATCATTATTATTATTATTGTTATTATTATTATTATTATTATCATTATTATCATAGTTATTATTATTATTATTATCATTATCATTATTATTATTATTATCATCATTATTATTATTATTCCGCTTAACAAGGGTAACAGTGAGGTGCGCCCAATTGGTGTGGGCGAGGCGATTAGAGGAATAATTGGCAGATGCGTCACAAGAGTCACGAAACAAGATGTGATCAACGCTAGTGGGGCCATGCAGGTCTGCGCAGGTCAGAAGAGTGGCGGGGAAGCCGAAATACACACTATGCGCAATATCTTTGAAGGCGATGAAACTGATTCCGCCTTACTAGTTGACGTCTTTAACGCCTTCAATTCACTAAACAGAGCGGCAGCGCTTAATAACATCAGAGTGCTATGCCCATTGATCGCCATCTATGTAATTAACACTTATCGAGTTCCTGCGTGCCTTTTTGTGTTTGGTGGTAGTGAGCTTAAATTTGCAGAAGGAACCACACAGGGAGACCCCTTTGTTATGTCAATGTATGCAATTAGTCTACAACCGTTAATGTCGTTACTTCAAAATCGAAGCACTGCAAAACAATGCTGGCTCGCGGATGACGCTACTGGAGCAGGATCCCTAGCAGAGGTTAAGCAAAGGTGAGATGAGTTGAGAGAGGCTGGTCCGACCCTTGCCGGATACTATCCTAACTCCAAGAAATGCTGGCTTGTTGTTAAGCCGGAAAAGGAAGACCACGCGAAGGAAATGTTTGCAGAGACCAGTATCAAGATCACAACCGAGGGACTCAAACACCTTGGCGCTGCGCTGGGCTCTCGGTCTTATCTTGAGCAATATGTGGGTAGCAAGGTAGAAGAGTGGGTGAAAGAAGTGACGAGGTTGGTGGAGTTTGCAAGATCTCAGCCACAAGCTAGTTATGCCGCATTCACATTTGGGCTCCCACACCGGTGGACGTACTTTATGAGAACACTGCCGGATATTGAGAACCTACTGCAGCCTTTAGAGCATGCAATCTCGGATGTACTTATACCGTCGCTCATAGAACGTAACTGTTCTGAGGAAGAGCGTAGTCTGGTAGCATTACTGGTGAGTATGGGAGGCTTTGGGCTCATTAATCCATCTGATACTGCGGATACGGAGTATTCAGCGTATGTTAGGGTAAGCGCTCCACTTGTAAGCAAAATAGAGGTGCAATCACATGAGATCCCAGAAGAGGCCGAGGTACAACGACTGGTATACGTCACACGGAAAGAAAAGGATGATAGACTAAACGAAAAGCTCGAGAAGGTGAAGGCCTTAGTACCAGACAAGACACAGAGAGCCGTATACCTGGCCTGTGAAACAGGCGCATCCAACTGGCTTACAGTTATTCCTCTCAAAGACATGGATTTTGATCTTAACAAGCGGAAATTTCGGGACGCCGTGAGGCTTCGATATGATTGGCCAATACCCAATAATTCATCAGTATGCGTTTGTGGGAGCTTGTTTACAGTGGATCACGCGATGATCTGCCAGCGTGGTGGCTTAGTCATTCAGCGTCACAATGAAATACGCGATCTACAGGCCGAGCTGCTCGACATGGTTTGTTACGATGAGCAGGTGGAACCGGCTTTACAACCCATTACAGGCCAAGAATTTCTCAGAGGAACTAATCAAGCCCCTTACGCACGCCTCGACGTCCACTGTAGGGGTTTCTGGGAGCGACAGAGGGCTGCTTTTTTTCGATATAAGGGTGTGTCATTCCAACGCTAACTCATACAGAGATCTTAGCCCCAAGCAGATTTACAGAATTCATGAAAATGAAAAGAAGCGAAAATAAACCTCCCGTGTAACAGAAGTAGAGCAAGGCACTTTCACCCCACTGATATTTACAACGACGGGGGACATGGCTGACGAATGCTTGAGGTACCACTCAAGATTAGCCGAGCTATTATCAGCAAAAAAGCAAGAGAGCTACGCCACAACAATTTCATGGGTCAGAGCGAAAGTGTCCTTTACAATTTTGCGGAGCGCGCTCCTATGTCTAAGGGGATCTAGAACCCTGAGAAGGAGGAACTTAGACATTAAAGAGAGGATCTGGAAGTAGAGAAGGGTCGAGCAAGGCTTCCTTAAACTCATCAGTTATAGATTATTTTTATTATTTTTATAGTAAATTTTTCTTATTTTTTTGCGTTGAACTTTTGAAGATTTTGCATTTCCTTTGTCAAGAGACTTAAAATTACTGTTATCATTGTTATCACTATAATCATTTTTATTATCATTATTATTATCATCTTTATTATTATCGAAAAGCTCGAGAAGTAAACGTATACGAGGTGTGTTTTTCTTAGCTTCTGATAGGCATTTTAATTTTTTTTTCGATTTTTAGGGTTTTTATCAAACTTTTGTAAATATTTTTGGTGATTTTAAATAAAGTGGAGTATAGATTATTATTATTATTATTATTATCATTATTAATTTCTAACGCTGGCGTCTCGAGCTCAAGCGCTTCATCAGAGAGAAAGCCCAAATGAATCGCTCAGCCTCCCTCTTTAAAGTTTAATGGAAACGCAACTGTGTGTCAATTAATATCTTACCTTAAAGTAAATGACACCCATGACAGCAATAGGAATTACACCTGCCACTACAATCCATCCAAAACTATAAATCTTTGGTAGTATAGGGTGAGGCCATTTTTCTGCGCACAACTTAATTTCATCGTTGTATGTGACTGAAAGGTATAAGGGAAGGCCCCATAATACTGCTATAATCCAAATGATCACAGTGGTCGCTCGCAAGCTTCTCCCTTTGCCCACCCGTTTTCTAAAGGGTTGAAAAGTGGCATTAAAAACTTCAATAGCGATGGCAACCAGGCTGTAAATTGACGCAACTGCAGCAGTCCATGCAGAGGTTCCCCCAGTGATGAATCTACAAAGATACTCCCCTGCTTGTCCCTCTGGATGGGTGAACGTTGGACCAATCACAAACTTGATCCCCATAAAGATGGCAACCAAGATATCAGCTATCGCCAAGTTGATCAATACGTAGTTCATAGCTGTCTTCATGTTTTTGTTCTTGAGGATCACTAAGATGACTAAAGTGTTGCCAAGAAGGTCTGTCATAATCATGAAGGAAAAGGCCACAGCGAATCCAATGTATTCTGAGGATAGATCCTCTGGGTCTTCTGTGTGCAAAAGTGACTTCATTCAATAATACTCCGTCTAAATGCGTCAAATACTTTAACACTAAGAATATGATATGATTATTCATATTATATCGTATTATGAAATAAGTCATTGCCTGCGATTCGGCCCTCATTATTAGCTAAGAAAGATTTGAGACGAGACGAGTTGAGGTTTACTCCCTTCCAGCTCTCTCGCAGGCAAGCGTTGCTCAAGGCCTCACGATCATATTTTACTGCAGGCGAGCAAACGCTCGCGCCGAAGAATTTATAATGAGCTCGAGGGTCTGCGCAGTTAAGATTACATTCGATCACTACCATATATGGATTTTGAGACTAGTTAGTCTCAACGGATCACGTTCAACCGTGCACGCGTGCCTCTGCATTCGCGTGTGTGCCTGTATGCACCCTCACATACACCGAATGCAAATATGGCGACCAATTTTAGTTGCCATTGTTTTGGACTTACTAACCTCTCACACGTAATAATCCTTTTGTGTTTTCCACGTGAAGATGAGGCTAGTAAGTCCAGAACAATGGCAATTCAAATTGGACGCCATATTTGCATTCGGTGTATACACATTGCCTTTTGGCCAGTTTGAAATTGATCTCCTTTTATGAATTTTTTATTTTGATTGCCAACAACAAAAAGCAAACTTTACAATACGTATCTCACGAATAGATAGAATGTTAAACCTAAGCCTTAATCAGAGAGAGAAATAGAGAGCGTCAAACATTATCCCACAAATAGAGGTGTACGGCATTCAGAAACGACTCTTATCTTACTTTATTTTTATACTCATTCTCCAATCCATATACAGAGCAACAAGGAAGTTTTCTTCCCACTAATATTTGAAGGAAGCGTAAATATAATTACTTTTTTGTCTAGAATTAGTTAAGAACTGACGGTAAAGTTCAATCATTGCCATTTTCTGTCGTCATTTCTTGCACTTTGTTGGTCATTATTTCTCAAGTGAAATTAATTCAATGTAGAAAGAGTACACATCAATTACATAAACATCAATAAAAGAGATCAGATCCATTTTGAGCAAGCTGTCAAGTGGAACGTGGGTGAGGCGATTTATATAAACATGCTGCACTCAGACATGTCTAATTTTCTGTTTCCGTTTTCCCAAGGCCTTAATTTTCAAGACACCTCTCAAATGAAGAAACATTTCTTATGCATTTGCAATTTGAAATCGTCTTGAACTTTGTGTTCAAGTTTATAGGATATCTTTCAAATTTCAACCATATCATGTTCTTTTTATGGACTGTACAGAGCTGAAAGTCCGTTGCATCCATGCAGTGAAAATATGGATGACGAAATAATAAAAAGAAACTCAACGAGAATTTTTTCCAAAATCAGAAGATGCAATGTTTGGCCTATGATAACTAACATCTGTTATGTTTTGAGAGAAAAAAATTGATCATGGTTCGCCTTTTTTTCTTCTTCTTCAATTTGAAGAGCTTTGCAACAATCTAATTCAAAAATGAAAAAGTACAGTTAGTATGATATAAGATTAAAGGTTAAAGAGGGATTTTCTTTCAGTGAAATCATCAAGATATAAGAAATCCCTTCAAACTTATCTAGTACCGTTTTGAAAGGTCGTGGGGGCGTATCATCTGTCTGATAATTAATCTTTCCTGAATTGCATTTGGAAAAAATTTTAAGCTTAAAATCTATTTGGGACACTGATATCACAAAGCTTACCAGGAAAATGGAATTTATTAAAATGTGTAAAATTTTAAAGTTTTTTTACTCAATGGCGAGCCCTATTTTATGCATTGGGTAGAGCGGAACCACAGACCGAAGGTACATTTTTGCACGAGAAAAGAAAAATTCTCATTGTTTGTTCTTTTTCATACATGATTCACCTCAGTTGCCATCGTACATGTGGATAGCCTGGCTGTCCTCAGTCTCCAGTGACATATCACATAAAAAATTTTAAAAATGGCAAAAAAGAATGGAGGTACCGAAAATGAATAATTGTGTCTAAAAGGCGCAAGATAAAAGCGTGTGAAAGGTCATTAATGAATGATGTCCTTGGAGAGTGTACGTAAGCTTAATTAAGACTCTGAGATCACATTTAGGAAAGTTTCAAAATTGCGCTGCATTTTATACTCCGTAAAGTTAGGGAAAATTTAGCACGTTTTAACAAATGAAATATGTCAGCAAAATATAAAATTATTCACCTTTGAGACGGACCATCAAAGAGGAAACAAATTGACCACTGAACAAAAAAGAAATTTAAAATCTAAAGGCTTTTCTTTTCTTTTAGCGCGGGATGTCAATAGCAATCTGTCCGATTTTTATTACTACGTTTAGAAATATGTTGACGTTTTCCTCTTTGAGTTCGACTGTGATCGAAACAACCTATGTTAAGCAAAAAAAAAATAATAAGATATTTCGTTTGAGTAAAAAGAGGAATAAAACATCAAGTTGAATCCTTCTTCAGCCAACCATGTTTTTCAAAATAAGTGTCATCTCGATCACTAGGTACGCCATTTAGAGTCAAACAACGCCATACTCAAGGACAGGTGTGAAATGGCACCTAAAACAGAGCTTTAGGGCCTCAGGCTAGGAAAGGATTTGGAATAAAGTTTGAATTAAGCTTAATACCTACCGTAGTTGCTTTCTTGACTTAGAGAAGAGGGGCACATAAATTTCATTTTTTCTTTTAAATTCGAAATATTTTAATCTCGAGGAGAGAGTAACTAAAATGTTGCTTAGTTTTTGATGTTTTCATACAACAGGCTATTAATAAACAGAGGTTATTAAACTCAACTAACCTGCTGAGGTTGTTTCATTCCGTTCCATTGTTAGACGCTTTCACCACCAACCCAAACTCACATTGAACTGAAACCGTGTAGCTTATAATTTTTTAAGTTCTACAGGCCACTGAAAACGCGACGCCGTAATACCAGAAACCTTCCAATTTGCGTAAGCTCGTTAAAAAAAAAGCAATCTGTTTGTTGCTTTTCAATCAAATATTTTCCGTACTAAATAGCCTTAACCGTCACTGAAACGTAGATATTCTTACGACTTTTGATTGCTAATGTCAAGATTGATATCCTTTTTAATTTGGGCCTGAAGTCCTCTAAAAAAAAACACCGACTAAAATTCAAATATTTCTTCCCTCGTGCTCTAAATGTATTTTTGAATTAAAAGACATTACGCGTCCATGAATAGCCATCAGCTAAAGTATATTATGCATGCAAATATGAAACTAAAGATTTGATTTGTTACCAACAAATTTCATCTCTTGTTTAAAAGAACCGTGACACAGCTCGGAATTTAATTACCATAAAAAGACACATGATATCCTTTACGTGTGTACCTGACATCATGATGTAAAAGTCTCTCATTGACTCGCATTAAAATCGTTTTGAAAGCGTCGGATGAAAAATGAATTTTTCAGGTTAAATGCGAGTAGTTTGCTTTTATAAAGAGCGGTTTTGACAAACTCAAAAAGGGCATGGGGATACGATCTCGTTATGATCCAATGAAATATAAAATATACCATTACGAACGTTTCGTGCGAACGTAAAAGTTCAATGATCTACAACAATGATAGGAGGTCGACAGGGGGGCGCGGAGAGTAATGAGTTTTAGAGATATAGAAATAAAAAATTACCATGATTGCAGCTGCCATCGAAAGAAAATATTTCAATCACTTCGACGTTCTCGAAATTTCTCAATACGTGCTCAGCTAATAAAAATAGAATGGAGTGTTTCAGCATTCGGCAAAGAAACCAATCAAATATTCTATGTTGTTTCCTCTTTTACTCATTCAATCTCTATGTGTTCTTGTCAAAATAATTTAAGAAGGAATGGTTAAAACCTAACTAAAACCACATTGTTAAGAACTAGGAATGGTTAAAACTAGGAATGGTTTAAACCTAACTAAGACTATAATGTTAAGAACTAGGAAAACTCTCTTACCCTCTGTTTGAGAGCCATGTTAACGATTCAGATTGCTTAAGCTTTTGCCGTGTCTCTCTTTAGTCACAGATGATATTAAGATAAATTTTAACCATTCTCTAACACTTTTTTGGTTGATCGTCTTCCTTGTTTCACCATCCTTCTACGACTCAACTACACTTAAAAAACTCACTAAAATCAATTAGAGAATGCTGTTCATTTTTTACGAAGGTAAAAGGTAACCAAGCAGCTATTCCTTGTCCATCGTCCATCGAGTCACACTTAGCTAAAGAATCACGTTGAGTTAGCCAAACAGATCTTGCATTTTAAGAGATTTCCTTCGAAATATCAACTCATTACAAAGTGAATTTCTATGTACCTAAATTTCATGCAGTCCCAGTCAAGATTTGGCGCAACAAGACCAAGATCAGGAATACAAAAATTGTAAGGAGCTTACTGACTAAATTTAAATTACACTTAATGGCAGATTTACCAGGAAATCGGCATTTAAAGACTTTTATTTAACAGTGTGGTTGGAGAAGAAAGGGCATACCCAGTGTGACCCTCTTTTCCATAAATCAGCGAGCTGCGTGATCATCAGACATTTTACCCAATTATAAATTCAGTGCAGAAAACGAAAAGTAGAAATTGTTTGCAAGTGCAATTTCTAGGAAGATTCTGTACAGAAATGAACCTGAACAAAGCTGCAGTTACTTTATCCACAATTAAAAAGGTTAACATTATTTCAGGAAGTGTTATCGTGGAGCATAGCTCACCGACAGTGCCAGTTACCGCTAAAAAGAAGTTTTTTGATCAAAATTGATAGCAGCTTATTGTAACCATAGTTAACTATGTTGTAACTGTCTTTCAAAGTTAAGTAGGCTATTTTATTATATTAGGCGAGGATATCTGTTCATCTGAGTTGTAAAATAAGGATCGTAACTGGAATACTAAATGTACAACTTATTTCGTTTTTTGCCTTATGACCTGGGATATGTATATTGTTTCCATTTATTATCCCAACACCAAAATAAGCTAGAATGACGTACATAGAAAATTGCTGCTCGACACCAACTTCGTCCTTCAACTAACAACAGTAGAAACTCTGGCACGCCATTCATTGGTAAAACCATTGTAAAATTTAACAAATTAGATTGCTTTTTGTCGTGTCTCTAAATCGTCAAAATAAACCATAGATTTTTTATTGAAAATTGCTTCGGCAACAACCAATCGCAAAGCACGTGGAGTATTTACGCTAAGAAATTAAATTCGATTTGCTCAATTGGGATAAGCTAACTGTGTTATCAAAAACCATTTCGAAGTCTTTCACTATTTCTGTGCTCTTTAAGCTGTACGAGGAAATTTTGAAAGGAATCTTGGCGTTACAGAATATTCTGAAAGAAAACAAACTCCCAAATTCTTTGCGAAACTCCTTGTTTACCAAAAAGTATATCCATGGCCTATACACGAGTTCGACAAAGCCAAAACTAAAGCGTAGTCGCTTACTGAACTCCGAAAGAGACGTCACTTCAAATAAACTGAGAAGATAGTTTAGTTGATCTGGAAGCCAACACAGTGCTAAGAAGAGTGCTGTCAAAACACACATGTGTAGAAGTCTAGTTTTTGTCTGAATACCGCTGGCTGTATTCCTTGCGGGTGATTTTCTCACGCTTATCCAAATATGAAGGAAGGAAAGCCATGTTAGACAACTTGGAATAACAAATGCAACATAGACGAATGATATTATCGCTGCTTTCAAGCTGATCAACCCAAAGTCTCCTCTGCCCAACGACATCTATCTTCGCTTGGGATTCTCCGAGACAGACGGTACAATTGTAAGGCAGAAATTGAAATGCAAATTGTAACGACATAATACGCCAGGCGTTTACTAGAGTACTGTAGAGCTAAGATTAACAGACGAGAACCATCGCTCAATTTGCCAGGCACATCACCATTAGAACGGAAGCTTTGCCCATGGTGAAGATAAGGAACTTTGTATCAATCAGATGATAGAGTAAGCCTAATCCAGTCACACGCGTGGGGTATAAAAATTTATTTACCGGTATGATAAAACGCGGTGTAACTACAACATTAGCAACTTGGGAGAAAAAAAGACTGTGAATAAAAAGCTATATACAGTATTGAAATTCTAGTTAACTGTGACTAGAACATTACAAATGTGCATTTTAGAAAACAAAAACAACAACAGCAGCAAATGAAAGCAACAACAAAAGCAACTTAGTATCATTCACATAAATATATGACAAGTGGTAAATGGTTGACATAAAAGAAAGTGTTGCAGCTGCCGGATGTCAAATTACCAATCAAAGAGATCAAATGGCAGTAAAAAAAAGAAAGGTTGCATGTTTATTACTTGGTGATTAAAAGATTGGATACCAATATTCAACAAGCAGTAGTACATACTTCAGTATAATAGTCGATTTTTTTCCCTAAATTCCTACCTGTAACCATATCCGTCACTGCTAAGACGAGTAGAAGAAGGTTGTGAGCCTTTTTCAAAAAGCGTCGCTTTCTCAACAGAACCACATAGAAAACAAAGTTACCAAAAAATGAAAGAAAAGCGATTAATCCATACAGCTTGCAGAGCTACTCCAGAAACGTTTTGTGCGAGTCTTTTCTGTCGCGAAAAGAGAGGGCGTCACATAGAGAAAAGTCGTCGACAGATTTTTCATTTTATAACTACAGCCTTGCTAAGGTAGGTAAGAGGGCATTGTTCTCGAACATTCCAGCTTGACTTGACTTGACAACCAATAAACTTCAAATGAATCTGTACAGCTTGTAATTATGTGCTATTGTACAAACAAAACAAAACAAACTGACAGAAAGGTGTAATTGAATAAATCAAACATTCCCGTTCGGTTTCCAAAGGCTGGTAAGTAGGTTTTCGAACCCCATAGCTGTGGTTGGTCCACTGTATCGTGTTTTGCTTGGTGTTCAATTTAACCTGTCATTATTTCATTATTTAATCCCTTTGACTATGTTTCTATCATGATGTTAGTTTACACAAATTAAAATAAACATGCCACAATGTCAATGTATCTTTTTCTCTCTTTTTATTTTTGTTTTTTTTTTAAGTTTGCTTTTTTGTTTTTCCTTTTCTCCCATTTAACTTCTCTGTATTTGTCCTCTGGGAATACTTATTTACCACTCTTGCTGTAAAAATTATAAACATGAGGGCCTGTAAGCTAAATTTACGAAAACGAAAAAGTGCTGAAATTAGTTTACGGCGACGAACCAAAACCTTCACTGTTTATCTTCGCTCATTATTATGAAGGGAATTCGCAGCTCTGGTTAAACACAGCCTGTTTAACTCGAATTACGTACACAGTTCATAAACTCAGTTGGTTTTAAGCCCTTATTTACTGAATAAAAATAAAAGGCAAAGTTGACGCAAACTGTAATCCTACAAGGAACATTCAGACACAGAAAAAAACTTGCTTTGTCCTTTCTTAACGCTATCGAACGGATAAACCACTATCCAGCGTATAGGTGATAGCAAAACATATGAGGAGAGCGTTTTATTGCGTTTAAATTCGTGCGATCAACTTCTTCGTGAGTAGGCCAATTCTTAAAAAACAAAGTATGAATAAAAATGTTTAAGGGTGACAATTCACGATATATAATGCTCTGATTTCATGATATAGCCTTTGTTGGAGGTTTCAAGCCGGAAATTGACGAAAAGCTTATTATGAAAATCAGTTATAAGAGGAGGTATTGGTAACAATCATGATTGCCTTTTAAAAACCGAAATGAATGTTTCCATTGAGCCTCCAATGGATGAACCTTACCTAATATTTGTTTGATAATATCCTGTAGTCATATGACAGTTTCCTTCTCCAAAACTAAGATTTAAAATGCAATTTTGCTCAAAAATTGTTTTCTCGCGCGAGAGTTTGATTTTGTACGATGTCATCATTAATTTGACTAAAAACATATCTTTGTTCTTCAATATTTTTCCTTTGTGTTATCTTCAAAAGCAACGTCGACTTGAGAGCGTCTGTTTTATAGATTTTTTATTTCAAATTATCATTTTATCTGCAAGCCTTTGATTTTTAGAAAGCAACCTGCCTATATTAGATCATTCTTCCTCTGAACCTAGTTTGTTTTTACAGCAATGATTTTCAGATATGTCTTTTTATGGTAATGACTTCATTCTTTCATGTAATCGTAATCGTATCTTTACATCGATTTTTTCTCTCGAGATTCTTGAGTTCGATCGGAAGCAAGATATTTTGATTTTTGAACAAGTTACCTAAAAAACTAGTTAATTATCTTACTGTGTGGTAACTTTTGGGAATACAAAGTGAGCCATTTTTTATCGTGGACAGGATATTTTTGTAGAATGGCTTTTTCTTTTCTGTTTTATTCAGTGAACGGTAGAAATCAAAAAGAGCAAGATTATGGCGTGTGAAAGGTGACGCATTGAAAACTCATGCAAGCTATCTGAGACAGTTGATAAGGTTTTTTTTTTTCTTTTCTTTCCTCTTCTTCTTTTCAAGTTTCATCTCCTATAGGTGACGTGCTTCCTAATTTTTCTTCAGTGTCCATTTCCCATGGTCTATCCACAGATTTCTTATGAATCTTTCTTCAACAATTCTCCAACACTCATGGGTAGACAACCATGCAAAACTATCATTTGATAGTTGTACCTTGGGGGTAAGAAGAGGAATTCATATCTTTTATATCGAGATTGATCTATGAATGACAGGAAAGAATCAAAATTTATAAAAGCTAAGTGTAAAGCAAATTTCTGGTGACCACAATGGAAAGATATTAACCGTTTGCCGTTAATTGGCCAAGCAGCCGCGAAAGCCATCATCTCTTTAATTAGACTCTCTTTTAAATCGCCATTGTCGAAGAAAAACTAAAGACTCCTTGAATCATGTGGAGTAATACGAAATAAGAGGCAAAGTCTTTACGTCCGCCTTTACGACTTCACGTCTTCACGTCTTCACGTCTTTACGTCTTAATGTCTTTACGTAGAAATCACAACAGTTTGTTTGTGTTTTATTCTATTTTTCCTCTTTATTTCCTTAGGGTTGTCATGGGTGACGATGCACTTAACTTCAAAGTACGAAGTACCCTTCGCGTGCGGTTTGTTAATGTCCATTCTTGTAAAGTGAACCGGAAAAATTGAAAGCAATATTGTTTCAGCATAAATTACCCAAAGCCATTTTCCTTCTGGGCAGCTGCAAGAATAATACATGTATACACAAAAGGTACACGGTATATATATTCCCAGTCAGTGAGCAGGAAGGGACTGATGAGTTCAGCATCACTTTATAATGATGAACATATCAAACCAAGGTGACAACAAGAGCTTTGAAGAAGCAACGCGTTGCTGCAGGCATTTAGACGTATTTTTCAGCAAAGCCGATGACGATGTCATTCTGTTGTCGGACACAATCGTCTGTGTGATTAATTCTGTATTTAGTGTAATCGCTGTGTTTGCCAACATACTCATCTTGTACGCCCTGTACAAAGCCTCGTCACTACATCTTCCGTCTAAAGCATTGCTGTGCAGTCTCGCTCTGTCTGATCTGGGAGTCGGCGCCATAGTACAGCCATTATTTGTAGTCTACAGATGGGCGCAGATCAAAGGTATTCTTCACGAATATTGCACTGAAGGAATTTTCGCTCATATCGAAGGAAGTTACTTCTCGGCTGTTTCATCTCTTACCATGACAGCTATCAGTATCGACCGACTTCTTTCGTTAGTCCTTCGTGTCCAATATCAATCCATTGTCACTCTGAGAAGAGTTCTTTTCCTACTAGCTTTAATTTGGATCACTGGGGGTGTATGGTCGTCAACTTGGACCAGAAAACAGGATATGTACTCGCTTGTAGGCATCATATATATTCCAGTCTTTTTTTCCGTAACGTTTTGCGCTTACTTAAAAATCTATTTGTGCCTTCGCAAGCAAGCCTGTAGGATGGGAAGGCACGTGAACCCACTGAGATGCATTAGAAAAACGCATGGCATGAACTTCGCTCGCTACAAGAAGTCCGTTGTGAGCATGTTTTATCTATTTTGCGCATCCGTGGTCTCTTTTCTGCCATATCTATGTCACAAACTTGCTGTAGCCATTTCTGGATGGAATACTTCAACTTCGGTTTTATTTAGCTTTGCTCTGACCATGGTTTACCTGAACAGTTCTGCGAATCCTTTGATATACTGCTGGCGAATTTCAGAACTGAAACAAATTGTACTCAATGTTCTCTGTCGTAATCGTTCAGCAGTGAAACAAGTCAAGTTCGTAACTTCTAAGGAACAAGTAAAAATTTTGTCCTAGAATGATGACTCTGAAGATATAAGTTTCTAAACTTGAAGGTAATTCTGGGATAAAAGACATAAGATTGTTCATATTACTTGACGGAAGTGATTGTAAGAATCCGGTGCCACAGCTAATTAAGCTGTGCAATTCTTAGATTTACAGTCACGGTTTTTCAAGGAGAGTATTAACTTCTAAGGAACAAGTAAAAATTTTGTCCTAGAATGATGACTCTGAAGATATAAGTTTCTAAACTTGAAGGTAATTCTGGGATAAAAGACATAAGATTGTTCATATTACTTGACGGAAGTGATTGTAAGAATCCGGTGCCACAGCTAATTAAGCTGTGCAATTCTTGGATTTACAGTCACGGTTTTTTAAGGAGAGTATTTGTCACCTACTTTATGTTTGCTTCTCTCTAAACAAAAACGTTAGTACTAGAGAATTGTAACCAATTTTAGCTTTCAATACTGCAGAATCGCTGCTACTGAACTTTGACTGTACTGTATGATAGCCCCAGTTCATGTTTATTCCAAAAGCTGCATAGTCATTACCCTGAATTCCAAAAGATTAGACACCCTGTTACCGTAAAGTTGAAAAAATTCAACCCGCTGAAAAGATTCAGTAAACGTTAATTACATAATTTCTCAATTTATTTTCAGGGCTAAACTGAACTCTAATAAATCAGCTTAAAGAAGCCTACAGAGGCTCTCATCTGTTATTTCAGCGTCATTATTGAACTTTGTGTACGGAAGGCTAAAAAAGAACTTAGCGGCCGGAAATATTAGCCTTCCAGATTTGTTTACTCTTTGATGTATTTCCGGTTGACCATAAACGTATGTGAAAGCCGACAGTTACGTAATGATTCAGGATTTTGGAATGTTTTCCACCATCGTTCTCGGTGTACTTTATCGCTCTGTGTGGCTTCCTTGTTTATGATCACCGGGCTCGCGTAGCTAGCGATCCTATGGTGTTCAAAGAAAATAAAGGACGCAAAACCAAGAGCTTGTTTTTTGCTTGTAGCCCGCGGCTAACGAAAACGGGTTGCGGAACTTCAGGTAGATTTTTCCAATCGTTGCTTCTCAGGCGTTCGCTGCTTCGCTGCTTTAACGCTTAAAACCGCACTTAAACCTTCCATGCTTACAAGTATGGCAGGCGTACAAAGTTTGTTTTGAGAATGAACGAAGATGAATTTTTACGGAGCTAACGCTTACTGATGTCGATTGTGGTTAGTTATCAATAACACAACCCGCCAATATTTTAGAAAACAAAAACAATAAAAAAATATCATAAACAATCCATTGATATAACTATAATCAAACAGAGCAGAACCAATATTTTATATTAAGCCGACGAATAACAATGCGTCAGCACATACGAACTTACTATCTATGCATGCATTGAGCCTTAACACCCCAACATCAGTATGCATATTCTCCATACTGGGCTCTATACTGACAAGGAGAGTTTTTTAAACCAATCAAGAGCTTTTCTAGTTGGTGACTGATTTCCTTTATACTCTTGATCTGAATGTTTGATTTAAGCGTGACACTCTTAGGAGAAAACATATACTTATTACTATTATGCTCAGTATGGATTGATTAATTACCAAAAAAGGCCATGCTTTACCCGATGTCTGGTCTTCTCAGAAGAGCCCTGAAACCAAACGATTGTTTCAAGGACTCGGTGAAAAGGAACAACTTCCTTTTGTCAGAGTCATTGTAACTCTTTTTACAATACTACCTAACTTTAATATCTTTTTGATCAGAACCTTTTCCAATATTATTCATTACCAGCATTAAGTAAACAAATGGTGGTGTTTAGATTTCATAATACTCAGATGTATAATATACCTTTTCAAACAGTTTCAATTAAAAAGAGACACGCTTAATCAAAAAATGATTAAACAGACTGGACACTATACTTAGACCCGAAAGATAAATTTTTAGCTGTTATAAGTCGAGTTAGGACGTATAGAGGTTTTGCACAGCAGCCATGTTGGATGGCAGGACAATAGATTATTTTACCCAGAAAGAAAAAAATTTCTTTCTTATGCAAAATATTTTCATTGTTCCTGCCATCCAACATGGCTGCCGTGCAAAACCTCTATTAATCTTTTCCTTTGCACTTGTGGTTTGTTTTAACGTTTGAGTGCTTTTTGACAACTTTCTTTAATCCAAACAATTTTTTTCCTTTTCGCCTTATGGTTTGATTGATTTGCGTTTTAACTCATTCTCGCCTAAAGGGAAAAGCTATAAGCAAAGACAAGTTGTTTGATTAGCACGAATAATAATGTTTATTTATGCCGTATGAATTGAACTCCTTTATTTAAAAAATGAATGCTAGGAAAAAAAGCCATGAAATTAATAAATTGAAAATAAAACTGAGTTTTGGACCAATTCAGTGATGGGAACGTTTTTTACTTAGAACATCATTTTTCGTTCATGGTATTGTTCTACGCCGCGAAAATCGATTTCATTAGACGACGGGGAAGAAAATTTTATGATAATTCTATAGAGTCTAAAAACAGCTCTGGCTTTAGAATACTCTCATTAGCGATATCAATCAAAACCTTCTGAGCTAAGTGTGCATAAGACATATAATTCCCCAGAGCTAATGGATTTTACCCGCCGATTATTATCTTAGGGTGGCTCAGGAGCTTCCGTTTACTACTTTCAATTGGTGTTTGCTCTTTTTGTGGTAGGGTTTATTTTCATATATAGGTACCTGAGCGGGCAGAATTCGCAAAATCCTGTAACGTAATCACCGGATTTCGATAACAGATACGACTCGAGGACTTCCTTTAGTATTCACGCAAACAGCGCGGAGCTGTCGTTGTCAGCTATCATAAATAAATCGCACGAGTTCTGGACTAGCGTTAAGTCTCTGAATTTCTCGTTGCGAAGATTTTAGGGTAAGATTGATATAGAAAAAATCATAAAACTTTTTAACCGCAAGTCAGTCGATTCAAAAATGGATTTACTGTGAGTGATTGAAAACTCTTTCGGTTGGTAACGATTGTTTTTGCCCTTTAAGACCATCCGCCGGGCAAATATCATATATATTAAGAGCATAAGATAGAACTTAGATCGAAAATGCAAACAACGTTTGTTGTCTTAATGTGATATTGCACGATATAAACCGTTTTTGCTTTTTAATTACTGTTTTTTATGTGTGTGACTTCCTCGATGGGGAATGATAACACCAGGTTTGAATCGAGGCAACAATCTTTTTAGACTTTATTTCTTACTTCTTTTCTTTCTTTTTTTTTTTCGGGAAGGGAAAATTTACCAATCAATTCAGTTTTTACTTTTTCAATTCGTTGTCACCTTTCATCATTTCCACTTTTTCATGCCGTCCTAATCGTACGTTTTAATGATTGTATTTTTGCTAAGCAATCTAACAAAAATTAAAAAGAGCCTGACATCAGTGACATTACTTATTCCGAGTCAATATAACCATAACTAACCATGATATTGCGGAGTTATTTCAGTCGATTCGTTTCGATCGCAGAATTCGAGAAGATTCATGCATCCGAAGGAAAAGAACGAAAAAACCCTAATTAAGTTTTCAGTTCAGCATTTAGCAACAGCCTGGGTTGTGATTCTTCACCACTTTTGTCATCCTCAGTCATTGCATGTTTGCGTAGAGGATTCTGGTTTGGCGAATATCGGATAAATCTGTTTATTATATACATTATCGGCTGCGATTTCATTGGCCAGAGACACCATTTTATATGTTTTATGCTAAGAGTCGAAACTGAATTAGCTAAAGATCGTATTCCTGTCCATCAACTCTCAACAGGTGAAGACAAATTGACGTAATTTCAATTGCAAATAACCAAGTTAAGGTTCGTTATTACCAAAAAACTAGATGCATCATTATCAATTGAGGAAAAGAGACTAACGCTCCGACCACAAATTGATAATTGTGCCTAACGAAGAGAGAAGAGGTGTAGAGCTCATGCAGATGGCCGTCAACGCGTCGCCAAAAAATTCGAGCGCCGATCTTTTTACCTGTTACGATCCGTCCATTTTTGTTCAAGCGCCAAGCACACTTCGCACGAACTACTTTCTAGCTGCTGTTTTCAACGCTGTCTTCTCAGTTACAGCTACTCTGGGTAATACTTTAATTCTGTTCGCTCTCAAGAAAGCAACCACCCTGAATCGTACTTCAAACTACCTTCTGCGCTGTCTCGCTGTTTCTGATTTGATAGTCGGCCTTGTTGTACAGCCACTACACGTAATTTACTCTATATACGGTATCATTGGTGGTCCTAAAGTCCGCTGTTACTCACGAATCCTCTTCCAGTGGACATCAGATTATTTCATTGCAGTTTCGTTTGTGACCATCGTGGCTATTAGCGTAGATCGCTATTTCACGTTATGCCGGCGTCACACCTATCGGTCAACACTTACAGCCAACAAGACCAGAGCAGTGATTGCATTAGTTTGGATAACTTGCCTGAGTTTCCCTCTTGGCCGTCTTGTAAGTTCTTCCATTCCAATGGTTCTGTCTTCAATTGTTTTTATAATTTTTCTTGTGATCCCGTCATTCACGATTTTCAAGATATACCGCTTTCTCAAACAACACGAGAGTCAGATTTCCTCTAACATTCAAAAATCTTCTGCGGCGGGCGGGAAAACAGGAGGCTTCGATGTTTTGCAGTACAAACGATCCATTGCAACATTAATCTGTGTCTACCTTGCGCTGCTGATTTGTTTTCTACCATCAATCGCTGTCACTGTACTTTGGACAACGACGGATCGATCAGGAAAACAAGGACTACTCAAAGTGGGAAATTTCTCACTGACTTCTTTAATGTTTAACTCAACCCTAAATCCACCCCTGTATTGCTGGAGGATCAGAGAAGTTCGTCAGCTAATAATCAACTTGTTGAATAAGTGTTTATGTTGTAAGATCAATCGAAATCATAGAAACAGTGTATCTTCTAAAACTTCCGAGGATACCCGTTTGTAATTGACTTGGATTCCGTGTATAGACCAGACGCTTATTGAACATTCATATTCAGGAAAATTAATTGTAACGTTATGCCCACGAAATGTTATCAAGTCTTCTCTTATTTTTACCATTACTTAAGAAAGAGATGCCTTAAGCAGCAGCTTACGCGGAAAGTGTGTATGATTTTTAGAATTAAAAAAAGACTTCAGTCTGTAGTTTCTAAAATATATATAAAATTCTCAGTGATATCCTTAATATGTATGGGTTTAAGCATTATAGACCCCTGACATAGAGACGAGACGAATTTCTGCGCTTGATTTAGGGAAAAGGAAAATTATAATTAAGGAACTTGAAGATCGTAGCTTAGGAAAGCATGTCAGCAAACCTTAGGAAGGGGGGGGGGGGTGGAGGGGGCGGCGTCGACGATTTTCCTATTTTGGGATGGTCTTCCTGTTTAACAGTCCCTGAAACCGATATCGATATAGCGCCCACGAAATTTTCAAATGTGAAGAGTTTGTTTGTCCTCAATTTTGCCTTATCATCATTTATAATGATGCATTTAATAGTAAAGGGTAGGGAGCAATATTCATTTTTGAAATGTGTCAAAAGACTTTTGTAATTTCTAAAACATCAATTTTTCATACTGTCAAACCGTATCATTAATAAATGGATATTGTAAAGATAAAGCTCGCATGATTTAATAAAGGGGTAAAAAATATATTGAGCAACTTGGCAATCCTTGCAGACGAAGTAGCGGAATACCACGTAGTATGTTATCAATTAAATCTGAAGAAGAAGAAGGAGTGCATTGCGTTCATTTTCTTCTGTTGTAGCTTTTTCGTAGCTTATTTTCGTCTCCCGTTTTGACCAAAGCGTTTCCCTTTTATTCTAATTTTTTTTTTCCAGTTTTGTGGTTTTACACTCTGATTTTTCGTATTTGGTCGCATTTATCGTTCGAACATTTTGCGTTTCATTAGACGCCTTACTTAAGAGATCAGTACGGTTCAGTCTCAGAACTCGCATTGGATAAAGATCAGTTCATCAACCGCGGTATCGTGCCAGTCTCATTTCAAAATTATGGTCTGCGGTCAATATCATAAATATTGCAAGCAACAATTATATATTAGTCTGTGATCATTTGAACACCGTGTTGTGATTAACATCTTGCATATTTATATCGCTTTGTGTAGATATAGAAAAAAAAAGTTACATGATAAATGAGTAGAACCGTTCTACCCTTCACTTCCTTGATCCACAAATTAAACTTTTTTTTTTCCTGGCTGATCAAGTTGTTTCTTCTCGCTATTTCTTTCACGCGCGGATCATGATCAAATAAGAAAAATTGTTAAAATCGAAATTTCGTTTATCGAAAAGAAGTCCACGAAAATCATCTCCCCTGCTTGCTCTGTAAGGTACGGTTTGGATGCACTTTTAGCGTAATTTCAGGGAAAGAGTGGTTGAATTTCCTCAGCCATGTTTTTCCTAATACATTTGATGTTTATTCTCTTTTTTCGCAAACCTCCAGTAAAAGTGTTCAAGCCTGGAACATTTCATTTCCTTGACAATATTTTAAAATACTATTCCAAAAATGAGTTCATCTCTCTTTAAACTCATAATCGCAACAATTTTCGCGGTCATTTTTTGATTTGTTCTTGGGTGACTAGCGTTGGAAACGAAATGCTTGGTAAATGCAAATGACATTACCAAAAAGGGATTAGAAAGGTATTCTTGAATTTGAGGACACCGGTGACGAGTATCTAACTCAAGAGACACACCATGATAAATTACACAGACTATAAAACTAACCAATTAAAGATGGTTGTCATAAAGGTTGTGACAACTATCGGACATTATGTCCTCCAATGGCTTGATCTTCCTAAGATTGATCTTCCAAGATTGCTTCGGATTTGCTGTGTTTTTGGAGTTTCGGTACAGACAGCCTATATATTTGTAAGAATTGTGAAAGATTCTTTGAAATGTTCTTCCGAAAAGAACAATATTCATCAATCTGCAACTCAAGTTTTGTTCTTTCCGGACAAAGTTCTCGCCTGTCAGCTGTTTCTCTTCGATGGAGACTGTAGTCGGAAAAACTGCCCGTTTGCTCATAAAGATACCTCTTTAAGTAAGCTTGTAAGAGTTTTATCAGAAGCTAAACAAAGCCTGGACGTATGTGTTTTTACAATTAATTGTCGCGAGCTTGCAGATGCAGTCATTCAACAACACAAGAACGGTGTCGTGGTTCGAGTGCTAACTGATGATGAACAGATGGGTTCGACTGGTTCTCAGATTGAAAAGTTTCGACGTGAAGGAATCCAAGTACGACATGATCTTTCTTCGTTCTTCATGCATCACAAATTTGCTGTTATTGATCGAAAAATACTTGTCAATGGCTCCTTTAACTGGACAAGGCAAGCGGTAACTGGAAATCGAGAGAACGTGGTCATTTCAAGTGAAGACTTCGTTGTGAGATCGTTTGCAGAGGAATTCGAGAGACTATGGGAAGAGTATGATCCTTGTAAAAGATTTCGTATCTCGTGAAAGCTTTTCACATCTAGGACTAGGAGACTGACATCTCACTTTTATTTCATGAATACCTTAGTCGTTTTCACAGTTGACTGCTCGTCGTGACAAGCTCAGGTAGTTTCTGGCTTATTTTAGAATGTAAACTAGTATAATGTTTTTATGGGATTTGTCACCAGTCTCGTTCAGATGCTGTAATTCTGAACGTTCTTACCTTAAAAGTTTTTACTCTAACACTTTACTTCGGCATCCACAGCGAAGTAATTATTCTGAGCAACTTTAGAATACCAGCCACTCCATTTTCATGTGTGGGAAGACCTTTTAAGAACGAGGCATATCACAGTAGACGTCATTCTTATTCAACGGGATGTAAATGTGTGGCCGATTATTCTGCAGTTTAGCCAATTTGGAGCAATTTTCAACTCACATTAACAACTAGGTCATCAATTTCTCTCAGGTTACTTGTTCGCCAACTTTTTTCTCTACACGTTCTCCTAATGCTAAATTACTTGGACTAGCCTTCCATATGCTACTTAGCTGTGACCCAGCTAGGTAAGACAACCAAGTAGCAAATATCAAGTGTGTTAAGTGTGTCGCTGTCACTGTACTTTGGACAAC